CCTTCCTTCCTTCCTTCCTTCCTTCCTTCCTTCCTTCCTTCCTTCCTCTTGTCTGTCTCTCTCTCTCTCTCTGTTTCTCTCTTTCTCTCTCTCGATCAATCTCTTCCTCTCTCTCTCTTTCTCCTTTGACATGGAGTCTTGCTCTTCCCCACGCTGGAGTGAGGTGGGGCGATCGCGGCTCACTGCAACCACGGCCTCCCGGGTTGAAGTGTTTCTCCTACCTTAGCCTCAGGTAGCTGGCATTACAGGCGCGCACCACCACGCCCAGCTAATTTTTCTATTTTTAGTAGAGATGGGATTGCACCATATTGGCCAGGCTGGTCTCACACTCCTGACCTCGTGATCTCCTCGCCTTGGCCTTCCAAAGTGCTGGGATTACAGGTGTGAGCCACTGTGCCCTGCGGTTGGTTTTCTTGAGATGCATATTCTTCCCCCATCAGAATGTAAATCCTATTGAATCCAAGAGGTATAACTTATTCATCTAAAAAGATCAACCTCCTTTACACTAAAGATATTCATAACTCTGTGTTGGTCGTTTCTTTAAGAAGGGCCATGTGCTTGTTTGCTGTTTTATCTGATATTGGTAGTCCTACTTCACAGGGATAATTTACAGAAGCACTGCGTGTAAATCCAATCCGTCTGGGTCAGCTTTAGAGTTACCAGGTTCCTACCAAGGATTTGACTTTTTTCTTTTCTCCAAATCGAGATCATCAAGAAGTCTCCAAATAGAAAGATGAAATGGAAAATTTTAAGTGGGTTAGAGCCCCAAATCGGCAATTTTATTCATGTTTAATATTGAAGTAATATTGTAATATTGAATATTGTTTTGCCTGTAGTTTCATTGATGGTCACAGAATCCCAGAAAATAGGTAATGTTGATTTTGGATTGGAAGCAGGGACAGTGTCACAGTTTACAAAATAAGGTAAGAACTAGAATTTGAAAATTGTACTGACATAGTGGCACAGGTGACAGCGTTGTTTCCTTCTAAAAGATTACTGGACTAGGCCGGGCGCGGTGGCTCAAGCCTGTAATCCCAGCACTTTGGGAGGCCGAGGCGGGTGGATCACGAGGTCAAGAGATCGAGACCATCCTGGTCAACATGGTGAAACCCCGTCTCTACTAAAAACACAAAACATTAGCTGGGCATGGTGGCGCATGCCTGTAATCCCAGCTGCTCAGGAGGCTGAGGCAGGAGAATTGCCTGAACCCAGGAGGCGGAGGTTGCGGTGGGCCGAGATCGCGCCATTGCACTCCAGCCTGGGTAACATGAGTGAAACTCCATCTCAAAAAAAAAAAAAAAAAAAAAAAAGATTACTGGACTAAATGATGGCTGGATTCTGTCAGTCTCAGTTCTAATTAGGAGTCAGCGATTTGCACGCGACGAGCAATGGTTCTCGGTGAGCTTCTCACTCATGGTCTTGCAGAGCTTATAGCAATAAACCCATGGAGGAATTTGTGAGGTTTAACTAGGTGGAAATGCACACTTAAGTCGGCAGTAACACGTTCACTAAAGACATACTGGTATTTTTTAACCAATCGCAACTCTTTACGTTCGTATTATTCTAGAGCAGCAAAGCTTTGCCCCCACCCCCAACCCCATGTTCTGGTATTCTTCCACTCTCTGAGAGCTTTAGAACCAGGGTTCCAAAGTCTCTGCTTAGCCTAACAGTGACGTGCTTGTCACAAAGCCAGAGGCCGGTGTCCTTGGGTTAGAGAGGGGCTTTGTCCTTGGGTTTTATTCTTCTTACTGTATTATTCGGGCTCCACCGAACCAAATATGAGTCAACTGGGTTGGGCGAGGTAGGACGGATGAAGCCCACCGTCTAGCAATCTGTACACCTATAGGAGCAGATCCGCCGGGCGAAACAGCTGACCCAGCGGCGACTGCAGAATCACGGGCAGCGTCGGCACAGATCTACCCCACCATCCCGCCGTCCAGCTCGCTGACCCGAGACGGAGCCTGGAATGTGACTGATCAGGCTACAGAGCCTGGCCGCAGGGCAAAGGCAGTGCAGTCCGAGGCCTCAGACAGGGACACGCAGAAGCGGCGGTGGCGCTGACTCAGCCCGGCCTCCCTGCAGTCCACCAGCAGCTGCAGCAGCCACAGGCGCGGGCGGCTGGGCCACACACCTCCCCCGCCCTCGGCCCCACCCGGCCACACCCTAGGCCGCGCGGCGTCACAGAGCGCATGCGTGCCGCGGGGGATGCCGGGAGCGCGCAGTGGCGGCAGCGGCGGCGACGGCAGTAACAGCGGCGGCTACAGCGGGGACGCGAGCGGGGCGGTGACGGTGTGGGAGGTGGTCTCACTCTTGGGGAAACTGCTGGGCACCGTCGTCGCGCTGAAGGTGGTTCTGTATCTGCTCCGAGTGTGCTTAGCGATGGCCTGGAAATCCGGCGGCGCCAGCCACTCGGAGCTAATCCACAATCTCCGCAGTAAGTGCCATCTCCGCGCGTTGTGGGGCAGTTGGGGCAGGCTGGGCCTGGACCGAGTCCTCCTGGGCCGTCCGGAACGTTCTGTCTGCCTCGGCGCGCCTGCCGGTAGGCTTCGGCGCAGGGTTGCCTCCGTAGTCCCGTATGGCGTGAGCTTGCAATCGCCTCCCTCGGGACCTGTCAGTCGTCGACGACGTGGACTAGAAGGGGAGAAAAAGAGCCAGGGGCCGCTGCTGGTGGGGGCAGGGGCAGTCGTCTCCCTACAGGCCCTGCGGGAGGGAGTGCGGTACAGGTGGTGCTGCTGTCACTCGGGTCCGCGTCCGAGCCCGGCATGCGAGGGGCGTGCCTTCGGGGTGGGAGTGTGTGGGCTAGGCCTTATAGAGTGAGCTGGCGCTCAGGAGACGCCACCTTCGCCCCCTGCATTTCTCATCTTCCCCCTCCTTCATAATCAACTTCGCTGCAAGCTTTCCCTCTAATGCAGCCTCCCCCGCCCTCCGTTTTTTCCCCGGGAGGGAGATGCCACCGTCTGATACAGGCGAGGGGAGGAAGATGAGAGTATTGCCATTGCAGATGCTGGGAGAAATTTCTCGGGCGGCTGTCCAGTGGAAAGCTCCGTGGGGGGGCGGAGAAAGAGAATCAGGGGATGCTGTTCCTGAGTGACTTGTATTTCAGGAGCCTTTACAGGTCCTGGATCAGCAAAGGGTTGTGTTTGTGGTTCTAACTTTTTTCAGGGCTACCATAGGCTTTAAAAACCTTGTGTGGAGTTTCTTTATACCATTCTTTTTAGTTATTGTATTGCTTCCTCTGATGATAATTTTAGGGTGGGATGAGTGCTGTGTCACTTTCTTTTTTTAAACCGAAATATAGTGTCCCCGTTTTGTTGGGAGACTGGAAGGGTCACAGTCTATAATAATCTCTTTGGTCAGAATTTATAGCACTTTTCCTTGCTACTAACTTTGCAGTAATCATCTTGCCACATGGTATTTTTAATTGTCCTGTGTTACTTAGCTTTTCATGTGTTTGTCTTATCTCCCAACTCAATTTGTAATCTCTTTAAGGGCTGGCACGTTTAAAAATTTTTTTTTGGCTGTGCTCGGTGGCTCATGCCTGTAATCTCAGCATTTTGGGAGGCTGAGGTGGGTGGATCACCTAAGTTCAGGAGTTCGAGACCAGCCTGGCTTAACATGGTGAAACTGCGTTTGTACTAAAAATACAAAAAATTAGCCGGATGTGGTGGCGCGCACCTGTAATCCCAGCTACTTGGGAAGCTGAGGCAGGATAATTGCTTGAACCCGGGA